TTTTTTTTTTTTTGTGGGATTTTTTTGTAGAAAACTTAGAAATGTACATAGTGGTGTTCTTAGCTGCTGAGTTAGTTGGGGTAACCGATGATTTTTAACTTGAACTTAGTTGTGCTGATATGTTGCTAGTATGTTCCTTCTTTTCTAAATGTATGTGGTTCAGGAGTAGTGTTTATGGTGATTACAGTTATTTTATGTTTAGAAATGCTACGGTAAGGCGATACAGTGAGTAGGCGGATCGACCCGTCATTTTTACTGAAACAAAAATGTCTACTTGTTCTCTAAATTATCGCACTTTCCAAAATGGACTAAATAGTTGTTTTATAGGAATATGGCATCTTATTGTGAAAGTGAGGGCCTTTGTGAAAATGTACGTCTGCTTAACGAAATAGGCTACCTAACACTAGACCTAATGTTTTATGCATCATTAGCATGTTTCTAACAATTCTGATGCTAGTGATGATTGTTGTTTTTGAGCAGGTCGTGTGTTTGATGTTTCTGAAGCAACAAAGAGATATTATGACGAGTCTTCACATCCAATAATGGTGAGAAAAGAATCCTGCTATTCATTTGTTTCTCATCCATTTTTTCCTTCTTTTGGTTGTCCTGTTGTTATTAATTTAGTGATGTTGAATTGTTTTTTGGAGTCCATTAATATGTAACTTTTCTTTTAATTTAGTAGTCCTATAGAGTTCAATGAAAGAGTTTATGTCTGTGTAAGATGGTGTCTACATTTGGTGTAGGGGCAGAGTTAGAAACAGAAAAATACACTACCTATCCGGTCTGTAAAGGATCACGGAGCTTAAAAGATTTCTTGTCATATGATCATATCCAATCTTCTATGCTCTTACTAGGAATTATTTGGATGGTATTTTAGATTCAGGAGATGCTATCTAATAGGTGTCATGTCACCAGTTGTGAGCAATCGATGCCATGTGACCTGTGAGTATCATATTCTGCATTTTCTCTAGCCCTTTGTGATGTTTCTAAAATCTGAGCTGTAATATATCCTTAGATACTGGAGAATGCATGACGAAAGTCCTGAATAGAACTGACTGTGGAAATGAAATTCGGCATGAAAGCGGTCCATCTTTTTAAAGGGCCCAAGCCATTGCCTTTGATGTTTTGATTAACTTCTGCAGTTAGTACATTGGTTATTGATAATAAAAAATAATCAGGCGTGGAGCATATTGGATATGCCATGTGGATTCTTTCATCTGACTTTTCTGTATTCCTAAATTGTTAGTTTCTGTTTACATTTTATTACTTTAAATAAGCATTTCTTCTAGGCAATAGCATTAGCTGAGTGTGTAATAACATGGGGGCATGCTTTGTATAGTTTGCCTAGGTAAGTGTCCTGCACTTAATAATGGGGATGTAGCTAATTCCAATTTCATGTATCTATTTCCAGTTTTCGCTTCTGCTTCAATGTTTCTTTTCTTTTTTCTTTCAGAAGCTGACAATATTATCTTCTGCAGTGTCATTTGCAGTCTGGAGATTGTTTTTATCTTCATTCGGTTTCAGAATCAGCTGGATCCCCACCTAATCATTTTCCTCCATCAATCCCAACGAACCAAAGGGATTTTGTTCAGTCCCACAAGCCCCAGGGGTTGAAGTATACAGCTGGTGATGAATCATTCAGATCCATTCAAGAAACTAGGATTGACCGCCAAGTAGTAGATGATCAAGATGTGCAGAATAGAAGTATGCTTTCAGTTGGATTACCAAATCTTAAAACAGGTACATGTGTTCCTTGTACTCTATGATGATAAACTGACATGCGCAACAAGTCCTTCAGAATTTTAGAAGTGTTACAGAAACTGTCGATGGCCATTGGGTTGCTATCCATTAGATTCTTAAAGATAAGGATATTCGGAATGAATAGATATCATTTATTGGGAAAATAGAAATAGTGTATCTTTGATTATCACAAGAAATTAAATCTTTTTAGTGTTGAAGAACCTTGTGGTTTGTGATCAATGCCATGTATCATTTTTTGAATTGACTTATTGAATGAAATAACTGTTTCTATAGCTTATGCGTTTCTTCTCCTGATATTTGATCTGGCTTTTACGTTGTTTCAATTCTTTTGAGTAAACTGATACTCATTTTAGGATTTATGAAGGTTTACTGGATGATGACTTACGAGAATCTGCTTATGAAGTGCTCCTTGCATGTATGCTATTTACCGGGTAAACTTTCCTTGCTACCCACGGTTGTCTACTTAGTTCTTCCTGAAGAACTGAAGCAGACACAAAATTGTATATGCCTGCTTCTTCTCTCTCACTTCGTCCCAACCCCCCAACCCAGAAAATAACCAATTTTGTATTATTAATCTTTTTTATTAAAAACGTGTCCAATCTTTTAGTAATGGCCAGTGTTTCTAACTTGTTGCTTTTTGTTCATATAGGGTAGAAATCTACACAATTGAAGGTAATAGAAAGAGGGAAAAGAGCTCCAAGTTTCTAGCTGGGTTAAAGAGTAGAAAAGATAAACGACATATAGAATCTGAACCACCTCAACCTACTGAAAAACATTTGAAGCTCCTGGATATAGTTCGCGTACAAATGCAGGCACGTTGCTCCCTCCCATTTTTTCTTAGTCTTTAGATTTGTCACAATTTAGTCAAAATATGCTTTTGATATATTTATTCCCTTGTCTGTTATAGTTATAGCTGTCCTGCTCATGGTCCCTTCTTTACATTGGAAGCATAGTGTCTCTGCGTTTCTGATAATTTGCTGGTTTGGGATAATGTTGTATTAACTGTGTGCTTAGGGTGTTTAGTTGGGTATACATTTTCACCCTAGAATGCGGGCTTGAATATGCATTTAACTTAGTAGTAATACAGTAGTCATTTCCGGTATATCCCCTTGTGCACCCTTTCATCCAAAGGACACTTTCTGAAAGCTATTATTAACTTTGAGCAGTCTTTCTTTTATCCCTGTAAAACTCATGTTGAATCAACTTAATCATTTAAGTTAATCAGTTGCTTGGGCATTCAATTGTTTTCTAAGGACCCCTATTTGAAACCTGATTAACAATTACCATTCCCCCAAGAGCTGGTGATGACCCTAGTTAGCTTCTCATAGTTGGTGTAGTTGTCGGGCTCTCGCCATAGTATGGTGCAATAATCAGGTTCCTGCCTCCATAGTTTTGCAGATAAAATACTTGCAGTGACAGGTTATTTTGTTCTTCCATCGACACACACTTTATAAAGAGTGGCCGTGGAAAGTGTTCATGTAGGAATAACAGAATAACCAGGTTTGTTACTGCATATAGGATGTGTACAAATTATTGTGTTTATGGCAACTGCAAAGTTTGGATGCAACGCCCAATTTATTGACATCCAGCTTTTGAAATATCTGAGAGTTCAAATTTAGTGAAGTTCACATATACAATATTGTGCTGTAAATTCTTTTTAAGACGGCTGCTTTCGTGATTCTATGTCAACCTTTTTTAGCTTTTATCCTCTTCAGCTTCCCTGCCAAACATAATATATCTGTACTCTGCATTAGATTTCAGAAGCTGCAGATACATTTATAAGGCGAAGGTTGACACAATTTGCAATGGGGAGATCTTGCGGACAAATTGATATTCCACAGTTATCATTGGTGCTTTTGACTGGTTTATCAAAATTCGATCTTCCAAGCGAGAAATCATACCATCATTGGAAGCACAGACAAGTAATTTACCTCTGGCTAATATTGTTTTTATATTTCAGCAAATTTCTTCTCTCCGACATTGCTTACCCATTCCAACATAATTAAACTAGTATATCCATTCATTTTTGTTGCTCAAACTCTGTATGAGGCATTTTTTTTTTTTTTTCCCTATGGAGTAGATTCGCTTTGGTGTTATGCAATTATTTAACACAACTGAAAGTTTTGAAGGTTCTTATAAGTATCAGCTTGAACTGATTAAAACTTAGTGTTATAAAGATATTTAGTTTATGAGAAGGCTAGGAAATATCCCACTAAACTGAAAAATTTCAATACTGCGTATTTTATTTTTATGCATCGATTGCATGAGCAATGAGACATCTATTGTTTGAAATCCAAGTCTCCTTATGTTTAGACTTGAGCTCTAATTTATATTGTAGGCCAATCTTCTGGAAGAACTAGTTTCTTCTCATCATAAGAAGACCGAAAAACAGATGATCAAGGCTGCACTTGCTAAAATCAGAAACCCGGAGGTATTTGAAGAACTTGTGTTGTTTACTTACAGAAATGGAAGTTACCCCTTCAACAATTTCTCTTCTTTATGGATAGGAATGGGATGTTAAGATGTCTCCTTCTGATAGAAATGCTGTTCTTTTAAGTATTCGACAAGTTGCTCTGGCATTTTCATCTAAGCCCGGACAATTTATGATGGAGGGAGAAACATACTACTGGACTGCTGCTTATCATTTGAACATGAGACTCTACGAAAAGCTACTCTTTGGTGTGTTCGACATTCTGGAAGATGGCCAACTAATAGAGGTCTGAATTTGTAGTTTCCTTTTGAATGGTAAGGATGATATCTACATTTGTACATAATAGTATCTGAAATATGTTTCAGGAAGCAGAAGAAATCTTGAAGTTGTTGAAGATGACATGGTCAGTGCTGGGCATTACAGAGAGACTCCATCATGCATTATTTGCCTGGGTGCTTTTCCAACAGGTATAAATTATTGAATTTTTGTTAATCTCAGCAGTGATTGACCGGCCCTTTCACTTGTGTGCCAATTATTCCTGGTTACCCGAGTGCTTGTTTATAAAAAAAACTAGAAAAAAGCTGTTTTTTACTGGTTTTTTGTGTTAGCTAGAGTTTATCTGAAAAAAGTTAGTATGGTTAGTGAGATTTCAAGTTTGTATTAGAACTGATTTGATGTAAAAGTAGGAGATAAATGATTTGAAATGATAGGTAGTTAAAATTATGTGAGTGGATGAATAGTGAATTAAAGTTGATGTGATGTGTAAGAATGATTGAATGATATTATTTGTTTATATTGATAGTATTGAAGATAGTGGGGTTGAGTTAAAGTTGAGTTAGATTTTTTTTCTAGATATATGATAAAGAAGCAAAGCCTAGGTCTCAGAAACACGTTAGTTTCTGAAACTGTTCCAGAAAAGTGTGGTGTTCCCATCAAATTTATATTATTTTTATATGTTCTACAGGACTATTCTGACTTAATGTCCATGATTAAGAGCATAGAAAAATTTGGAATGGAATAATCTTGAAACTGGCAATAAGAGCGTAGCATTCTCCAATATGTGTCCAAGTGTAAGAAAAAAATAAATTGAGACAATTCCACCTCATATGATGCTTTTCTAAATATAATTAAAAATATATATTATGTTTCCTGCTTCAATACAAAGCAGATATTTAGGTGAAAAGCTCACAAGATGAATTGGTTTAACGGGCCTTTAGATCCCTGATGGACACTTCACTCATATATCATCGTACTCCTGATAATGTTTCAAACAGTTCAATTTTTTTTTTTTTTTTTTTTTTTTTTTTTTTTCATGCAAGTTTGTTGCGACCGAAGAGGCAGTACTATTGGACTATGCAGTTCATGAAGTCGAGAAGGTTTTGTCTGGTGAAGGTCACAATGACAAAGAAATGGCTTACATGAACAGCTTGACATGTTCCACTAGTGGCAATGCAAATAGATTGAATCTGCTTCAATCTATTTTTTTGTCAACTAGCACATGGTGCGACAATAAATTGCTGGATTATCATCTACATTTTAGTCAGGTTTTCTCTTTTTATACCTTGGCACGACTATCTACACATTTTCTGGTCTCTGTTGTTTGGGTGACTTGTAGATTGTTCCACTTTGAAATACTATCTGAAGGTGATCTTCAATTTTCAGAAACCGTCGTTCTTCGAGAAAGTGTTGACAATTGGTTTGTCTACTGGGATAAAAGGTTTTGTTCCTCTTGGAAATATCCAGGTAACAATACCTTCACATTAATCACTTTCAGTTTCTCTCCCTCTCTCTCTCTCTCTCTCTCTCTCTCTCTCTCTCTCTCTCTCTGGTTTAATTAGAAAAGGATCTATTAAGACATCATCACATACTGGCATCAGTTATCTTTGTTCCTTGGTGGATTAGATTGTGCGGAATTCATATTATTTTATTCACTTGAAACATTAAATTTTCAAATTACGGGCATTCTGGCTGAGTCTGAATTATTCCAATATGTTGGTCACATGAAATTCTACAGCTTCTGTCTGACTACTACAAAGATAATTTTGTTTTTCTATCTCATTTTGTTATCCTGGGTGGCAGTTTACAGGATCTTGCCATCCTAATGAGGCTGCTGCTAGAAAGATCAGATTGTATGTAGAGAAAACTATGGATGCTGCATGCAATAGGGTGAGCCAGCAGTGTAAATTAGAAACGATAAACTCTGGTGATTGTTACGGATGACAATGTCGATATCCTATATTTTTCAGGCAATCGGTCTTTCAACTAAAGGGTCTGGAAAAGATAAGATACATCCACTGGCTGTACTTGCTAGTGAACTAAGATTAGTTGCTGAGAAAGACCTCTCTGTATTTAGCCCAATTCTTCGACGTTGGAATCCTGATTGTACTATGGTCTCAGCCAAAATATTGCATCAATTTTATGGTGAAAGATTGGTGTGACTTCTTCTCTGAACATCTGCTGTTGTTTCTACTTGCATGAACAATTGATCAATTATTTTTTGATTCAGTTCTTTCTTTCTTGTTTTAGACACCATTTATCAATGATATCACATGCCTCACCGAGGGTGTCAGAGAAGTGCTTCCTGCAGCTTATGCATTGGAAAACTGGCTTATTAAACTTTATTCATCATCTTGTGAAGAAAGCCATTCTCATTATGGCCCAGAATTGGAGCGTTATCCGGTTCTCTCTCTCTCTCTCTCTCCAGTATATATATTGTATATTATTACAAAATTCATTTACATTTGCATTATGTTTATTTAAACCTTTCTAAATTTTGATCTGAGACATCTACCTTTATCTGCAGCTAGTTCCCGCCAAAAGGCTATTCACAAATTCAAAATAAATTATGCGTGATTCTATTTGATGGCTTATCTTGGTTATTGTTGCATTCAGTCTTCACATAAGAAAGAAGAGTTGTTGAAAGAATTCAATTTGTGCAATCCATTCGACACACATGATAAAGATGATAAATGGCGTTGAAGCAATTTGAAAGATGATGTTTAGTCTAATCATATTGCTCTTTGGAGCTCATTAGCCATAAGTAATGAACTGTATCTTCATCCTTCTTTGCTTCTATCCACAGATTGCTGAAATTTCCAAGTCTGTCGTACTTGACTGGGTAGTTTCACAACAGGAAAGAATTCTAGAATGGGTTGGACGTGCTTTTGACCTCGAGGTTTGTCTGCAATTTGTAACTGATTCATCACAATACATTAACGAATTCTTATTTGCTTGCTTCAAATTTCTTTGGAAAAAGTAGAAATTATACACACTTTAGTACCACATATTTTCTCATCAATTTGTTCTGTATTTGCAGAACTGGGAACCTTTATCGGCTCAGAAAAAACAGGCAGCTTCAGCAGTTGAAGTGTTTAGGATCATAGAAGAGGTATGCTGAACTGATTAAGGAGTTTTTCCTTTTAACCTACCATTTATTGTCTTCTTTTCATATATTTGCCTAAAAAAATCATTTGTTGAATTTCCTGATTGACTCTGGGTGTAACTCGTAACTTTGCAGACAGTGGATCAATTTTTCGACTGGAGTATCCCAATGGACATCACTCATTTGCAAGCTCTGTTATCTATAATTTTTCACAGCCTGAACACGTATTTGTTGAAAGTGGATAGCCAGTCAGGCAAGGACCTCGGGACATTTTATCAAGCTTTTACCATCTGTCCAATAAGCTCCACTTATTTTGTATCATGTTCAGTTTAAATTGAGTTTATTGCTACCGAATTCATTTTACCATTTACTTTATAACTTTGATGTGAATAACAAGTTGAGTTGAGCCTATATTTATGTGTCCGTCTTTTATTATAAGCATCCTTCATCTTTGTGTTGGTCCTATCCTACTTGGAGTTACTTTATGTTATATCTATTTCTTTTTGGAAGGAAAGTTTTGTTTGCCTACTAATAACAATGGTTTTCTGTTGTACTGCAGTTCTAAGGCATAAATTGTATCCTTCTGCTCCTCCGCTGACTCGTTACAAGGAAGCGACATTTCCTATTCTCAAGAAAAAGGTGGCAGAGAGTTCGGTCATAGATAATGAAATATACAAAAATTTGGAAGAACTGACAGCTTCCAAGCTATGTGTTAGACTGAACACTTATCAAGTGCGTGCCAGTTCTATTCCAATTCATTGCAATAATCTCAAGACATTATTCTATCTTTCTTGACTGGATAACTTATTGTGGTTAATAGCTCTTATAACTATTTGGGTTACTATAAAATTATCAATCTTTACAAGTTCTTGCACCTGTTACATATGTTGCCCTACTGAAGTAATATGAAGTTACCTTCTTATTCCATAGTTATTTATTTATTTTTTTAATTGAGGAAATCAATTTATTTCCAAGACTATCATTTGTAAATTTAAAGCAAACGCAAAACAACTTTATATGAAATACAATTTTTGATGTTTTTGGATGGGATATATCTTAAATGGAACTTGTGCAGAACTCAAGAACCCATTAGTGTCCTAAATTTAACGTCAAGTACAAGTTGTGAAGGGTAAAATGGAACATTTTTAAGTAGCTTTAGTTCATCCATTATCATCTGGCTTATTTGTTGACTTTGCCTAAACAAGACATGAATAAAAAATTGGGAGACGTCATATATTTCTATGAGCTGATAAAAAATTTGTCCAACATCTACTTGGCAATGTCTCTCCCTGGAAAATTTTACCTTTTCATGTAATTCTTCATCTAATAGTACATTTTTGCAGTATATCAAAAAACAAGTTGATGTACTTGAAGACGGCATCAGGAAGTCATGGAAATCCATCGCATCATATCAAATGGACAGACAGTGTAAGTTCTTGAAGAGTTCTCTACCGAGTTGGTAAAATAAATTTTCGACATAGACAAACCATGATTTTTCGGCAGTTTGAAATGCAAAATTTAAGTTAATCTGCATCCATTCATTACTTTCAGCAACAGATAACATTCCTGAGACACCAGAGACAAAAGATGTGAATGGTGAATCAGTTTCTGAGCTTTTCGTTGCAACACTGGACATCATCCGGGATTCTGCTGCTGATGCCATTAGAAAGACTAGTGATTTTCTCGGTAGGATATTTCGATCCTATTTATAGACCTGTTACCCATGCCCATTAATGATAATTAGTTTGTACTATAGGTAAGTAAATGATATTTCTTTTCTCAAGGGAATAGTAGTTTGAACCAAGGGCTTTTCATCTCTTTCGTGCATGTGAGTTCTGATGTGTTATGAGCTGCTTCTGTTGTAAAACATACAACAAAGATTAAGGCATAAAAGACACATCCAAATATATTTTATCTGCATTTAGTACCTTCAACTTTAATTGAGGTTCAAGTAGTCACTGAATGTGTGCTTCATATTCTTGATTTCCATTAAAAAATGAGATGATAAACTCAAACTTGTGTCTTTTTATTGTTTTTCAGGAACTAGAATTGTGTTCTGGGACATGAGGGATTCATTCTTGTCATACTTGTATCATAGCAGTGTCGAGGGCAATCGCTTGGATAATGTACTTCCAGAATTTGATAAAGTAAGGCATATTTATTATATTGTGTCTACTTTATAATTTGGGTTTTCTCTTAGTACGGCACAAAGATAGACATATGTATAAATTCCTATGTTTTACATTTCTACTCTAAACTACCAGTTTTAAAACTAAAAGGATGTTTTACGGAGACTTATAACCAACTCTTTTGGAACATTTACTATCACTAGAGAGTGTTCTACTGTTCTTCATTAAAGAACAAAATTATAAGAAAAAAGTGACAAAAGCCTTTGCTTGTTTTAACGACCTCCTTCACATTAGAACTTACTATCAGAATGCTACTTGCATCTAGCAACTTTCTTTTGAATGTCTTAAGACATTTATGAAGTTTCTATTACATGTTTCATTGGCTGCTAGATAAGCAATCATGTTTGGCAACATTCCTTGTTTTGCTTGATGTTCTAATTTCAACGGCACTCATTGACTACACTGATGGCAGTTTTGCTATGGAACCATTGGAGGACATGCTTTATGGAGCCATCCACAATTATCCACGAATGATGTATTGACACGTGTTCTAAAAAATAGATTCACTTAGGACATGTACCAATACATCAATTCATGGATGACTCCATATAATTTCTGATACTGATGGTGCCAATACACCTAGGCGCCCCTATATTTTTGTCTTCAAGATTTTTTATTTATTTTAGAAAAATAAACTATTTAATCTTTATACATGAAATTTAGATTAATAATATAATAGAGATATTAATAATCATATTAAAATTAATACATTAGAATGGATGATATATAATCAATTGATATATTTTGCATAATATCTTATAGATTTTGCATGATGATAAATATAAATAAATTTACTAATATTTTCCCAATCCGCCTAGGCTCTAGGCTCCAGTCCACCGCCTAGAGAGTGCCTAGCGATTTTTAAAACATTGGTTTTCATGTAGTAGCAATAGTTGTCTTATTGCCGTATGGTTGATGGCATGTGGTAATTTGTCACAATAAATTCCACGTGCTTTTTCTCGGATGCTGATAAAGAAGCAAATTGGTTCATGATTTGTTATACAATTTTCTTCTGACTTCTGACATTCTGTGATAAATTTTTAGGTCCTCAATAATGTATGTAGATTGATCGACGATTCAATCAGAGATCCAGTGGTATCAAGCATTTGGAAGGAAGCAATGGTATGGCTTTATCCGTGATATCCATAGTCATATAGCTTTTTTCCTCGCTCTCTTCTTCCCCTCTCAGTTTATGACTGTTATTACAACAGGAAGGATTTATGTGGGTGTTGCTTGATGGAGGCCCGTCACGTGCTTTTTCAGATACAGATGTTACACTGATTGAAGAAGATTTCAATATGTTAAAGGTGAGACTAGCGCATCCATGTAAAAAGTTTTCGTTTCTTTTTTAATTGTCGGATAAGATATCCAATAATTGGTAGTTTGAGCTCAGAATGGGCACTGTTCCTCTTTAATCAGATTCATGTGTGTATATTAATATTATCTGTTTTTACATTTCGCGTTCTAAGATCATGCAATATCAATTAAATAATGCTAATCTTTTAGTGTACATCTATCATTTGTTCCTAATTTATATGCAAGCAATAATATTAAATTTCATCCTCGCTTATTTTTTTCCCCCTTTCCTTTCAGGATATGTTTGTAGCTGAAGGGGAAGGCCTTCCTCGTTCATTGGTGGAGAAGGAAGCAAAATCTTATCATAAAATTCTGAGCTTGTTTTCCCTTCAGGTACGATAATTTGTTCACACCTTCTGTATTTGCTATAAGTTACACGTGTTTTTATTTTCTTACTTTTCCTTCTTTTTTTCCCCCTGAAAAATTTGGGCCAGACTGAATCATTGATCCAGATGTTGATGGCATCAAGTGAGCATATTTCAGTTGGTGTGACCAGTTATAAAGGTGGTCAACGGTATAAAGGTGATGCCCACACTTTAATACGAGTACTGTGCCACAAGAAAGATAGCGAAGCCTCAAAGTTCTTAAAACGGCAATATCGGCTTCCATCATCGTCTGGTAAGTTTTTTTTTCCTTGTTTGGATCATATTGTTTTGATGTAACTTTAGTCGTGCCATTTGATATTGCTATTTTGAAGGTTTAAAAACTTCAAAAGAAGTGATTTTCAACTTCTATCCGGAAAAAAAGTACTCAACTTTTCCCATTACGAGAGCTGGTATTTTTTCCAACTTTAAGCTGAAAATTACTTCCTAATTTTTTTTCTTTTCTTTCCCGGAGTTGTGGAATACTCGTTATGCTCCTTAGTTGATTGAGTGACAATAACGTGACAGAGTAAAATTGCAGAGTATTACATACTATACCATAGATGATCTTAAATCAAATAACTCGGAAAATCTGAAAATTTCTGATTTCACTTTATAGTCGAGCCAGTGAAACTGTTCTAATATTATAATACTTAAGAAATTTGATTATAGATAGTGATCAGCTGTTGAATATTGCTCTAAAATTTTGGAACACATTTGAGAGTTATCTTTCTTTCCTTTTTGTTTTGTTGATTCTGTTTTCTGTAGTTCTGCAGTTCATGGCCCTTGTTCTTTTTCCTTTTAAATCATTGCAGATTATGATGAGAGTGCAGAGGAGAATTCATCAAGTTTCGGTTCACCACTTGTAGCTGATCTCCTGAAAAGAAGCGCTTCTTTTCGTTGGTCTGAGAAAGGTCAGAGCAGCTTCAGATCCATTACTAAGAGATTTCAAGAGGCCAAATGGAGATAAAAGAAAAGAACAGAACGAAATTATCAACATGATGATACAGTATTTTCTGAATTAATAGTGGGATAAAAGCAATTTATTGTCTTCCGAGCTAAAGAAGTCTACTGACGGCCAGAGAGGGCACACTTGGATGCATTTTGCTATATTTCAAGAAGCTTACAGTTGAAAAAGTTATGAATCATGATGCCATTTTTGGTCAAAGGGGGCCAAAAAGTTTAATCTGGAATGAGAGCGTGCCGGCAGTTTTCAGAAGTTGGCAACGAGCAGCAATTGCCGATTTCATTTTTTATTTGAAAATGAAGTCGGAAGTGAAGTGCTTGCCTTCAACGCTTAGTAGATGCCAACTATTTGGAATTTCTCTTTTCTCAGAATTATTATTAAGCCAAGTTTTGTGTGAGAATTTAAGCCTTTTTTGTCTGAGCAAGTTTTCCTTGCCGGTTTATCTTCTAAAGGTACTGCTTTTCTTATCAGTTTTGGGTGCATAATTGGTTTTGATTCTTGATTTTAATTTCGCGCACAAATCGTTCTATGGCATAAATTTATAGCGTCTCCGTTACAAAGTTTCGAGAAGTATTTTTTGGAAGTCTTCCCTTACTTTTCTGCATGTCTGTTTACTTGGTTGTTGGCTTGTTGCGTTGTATAGGCCTAACCCCTATATGAAAGGCCATATACTTACTCTATATGTATGGTCTTCTCTGTGAACGAAGACATCATTCATTCAAAACTCTAGGTTTCAAACATGATATTAGAGCCAAACAAATAGGGTAAATTTGATTCTCACCATCTGCACCATTCATCTCGTTGTTCCCGGATGACTTACCGGTAAATTATCGTCAGCTATACCTGTGTGTGAGTCACACATTGTATGTGACACTCGTGCTATTGTAACAGGCTGTCGGCTTCTTAACGTGCTGACGCGTGCCTTATTGGATTTTTTTTTCCGAACCTCTGCTGGCTTGGAATACTTTAGGCTTGGCTTGTTATCAGTGATAATAGTTTGTGTTTTGGGAGGTTTTGGCTTTTTTAGATTTTGGTACTTGTTGGGGTTGGGGTTTGTGTATTGTAATACTCTTTTTATCATCGCCCGTAGGTCATTTGGTCCTACGCTGCCCGTTGCAGCAACTTCTTTCATATTTTATTGCAACTTGTCGTTGTTGGCTTGATATGTTGCTATTCGTGTATTGTCCGCTTGTCGTGAAGGCATAATTGTTGTCATATTTAGCTGAACCATTTCGCAACTCAATGCGATTGCTTTCATTATCACTCTTGATGGTCAGAATTAATGGGAGTAGGCTTTTATGTGGAAACTGTATTGGGGGGCGATGGTAGGCTTATGAACTATTTTTCCACTTGATTGACGATAGACTCTACCTAAAGGCCGATAATAGTAATACAACTAACATCAGATTAATGACAAGAAAATGATGGTTGTCGTCGTCAAAAGCAGTTCAAGATTATGAGTCTTTCTTTCTTTTGGACAACAAAGGCAATGTGGTCCTGCTTGAAACAACGCTACTTTCACGATAGTGGGCATCCTGAACACACTTATGTAGCAAATTAATGTCATTGAACAAAATGACATGTTCATCGATGAGTACTACTCGACTTTTAATAGTTTAATGTGATCAATGATCTTGATAGTGGGCATCCTGAACACACTTATGTAGCAAATTAATGTCATTGAACAAAATGACATGTTCATCGATGAGTACTACTCGACTTTTAATAGTTTAATGTGATCAATGATCTTTATGGTACGCCGATGCAAGGAAGAGGATTGCTCAACACATAAATTTGTTGAGAAATTCTTTATATATCGATTTGTCATGGAAGTAAGAGCATAATTTGAATCCGTTTGTACATGGTTGCTTTATAACTCTTCTATTCTAACCATGACACATGCATTATCTTATTTAATTGCTGAAGAGGATCGTCTCCATTTTAAGTCAGTTGCTCATCCGTTAGTATGTCATAGCATCCTTGCAGCTTATCAAAGGAAATCTTCTCAACATTTTAGTGCACCTAGAGGTGGCTCATTATAACCTTGTAAGCATTGTGGGAAGACGTGCCACGAATTGTTTTACTTCATCCTGAAATTTTGGTTGCTTGTCGTGTTGTTCGGTCTACTAGTGTTTGGTTGCTATAAAGGGGTTCGTCTCTGTTGCTGCTAGTGGCTGATTTTTTGGGCGGTGCGAACTAGTTGTGGACGACAATCATTTTCACAATAAATCAACTAAGATTTTCGTGATGGAAGCTTCGTTTACTTTTGGCCGATGTGAGGAGATTGCCCTTCTATATATATATCATAGTGACGCTGGCATGATGTGTTCATGGGTCGGAGTGAGATCGACACAGAGGATGACACCAACGTTCATCGGATGTTCATATGCCAATGTGCTTTTATGCTTTATACACTAGGACTTTGGGGTACCGCCGATGTAAACCCACCGTCCACATCATCGCTATTTGATAGGCTAATCCAGATCAATATATTTTAGGTAAAACATAAACTATTACATATCATAAAAAAAGGATCTAAATTAATATAATATTCAAAACTATTTTTATATTAATCCATATACTTTCATTGATTTAATCCATACAATTTTACCAATAATCTATATATATGGAAAAATGTTGATGGAATAGTATAAAATAATAACTTTGGCTTTGTAATTAAATAAGTTGACTTACTATTAAAGGAAATATAGTAAAAATTACTTCAATAATTTTTTTCTTAATTCTAACCAATCTAAAATAACAATGAAAAAAACATATAAATCATATGTTAAATTATTATATATTATAAAATAATAAAAAATAATTATTATTATTCAAAATTATTTTTATACTAATCAGTATTCTTTAATTGCTTTATTTAATACATCCAATTATATATTTTGCCCGCGTATCGCACGAGCTACGTACTAGTTAAGTTGAGGGGGGCGCTGTATATATTATCGGCCGCCCATATAACAATACCTATATGCTAACTTTACACATGTGATCATGATGGAGACGAGATTGGGTTGACGACTTTTCTAGACAAGTCGTTTGACATCTTTCGTTTAATTATTTATTCCTTTTATTTTATTGTTATTAAGAGAAATTATTTAACTATTCTAGTCTTTTACTATAAAATTATTTGAGTTGGACATCTTGGGATTTAGTCTAGAATTTTATGGTAAGTAGATCTTCTATGAGTCTTATTTAACACTTATTTAAGACTCTTATTTTGTTTGGAGACTGATTTTGATTGAATTAAGAAAATACGATAATTCTCTCAAATAACCTGTGCAGGTTTTAGTTGTGTTCTTCTCTTCTTAAACTCATCAAACCAACCAAGGTAATCTTGTTTTTTTTGCATTGTGTAATTTCTATTATCTAGTAAGAACGCAAAGAAAGTTAGCTACAGAGCATAGTTTTTGGTTAAGTTGTCGATTTGTGTCAAAACATGACTATGTACTTGACCGGGGCGAATGCGTATATGGTGTCGATTATTGATTATCAAGAATTTATGGTTACATTTCATTTTATCTAAATATAATGGGCAGACTTGATTTGATCAGTTATATATCACAAGAAAAAAATGGGCAGCATTGTGCAAAATCAATCACTGGAGGCTTGCAAAGTAACAAAGCTGGCCTGGAAAATCGACAATTTCTCGAAACTGAACGTGAAGAAGCTCGTCTCACAGACGTGCTGGATTGCAGGATACAAATGGTATATATATATATATATGTGCTTCAAATTTAAAAACTATCAATTCATGAAACTATCAATTCATATTTGACCATTGTATTTGTATACATTCTGTTGAATTGTTTTGTTAATTATTATTCTTTCTTCTCCTTCTATCAGGAGGATCTTCCTTTATCCCAAAGGGATCGAGGCTGATGGCTATCTGTCTTTATATATCGAGCTTATTATAGATGAATCTACGGCACCGTCTGGGTGGTTTGTTGAAACTGAAATCACGTTCGTTCTAGTCGACCAGTTTGACCAAAATAAATCCATTGACATTGGTATTATTTATCTGAATTCGTAATACTGAGTTTCTTGTTTAATTTTTTTTTTTTATTATTATTATTTTTTATGCATAAGGCTTTTGCTTTCCAGTTGAAATTTTTGTTGAACTTTGATTGTTTATCATGTTGGCAACAGACACAGAAGACACTTTTATCTTTAAGCATGGCCAGGTAAGTTGGGGTTATCCTGATTTCATCTCACACGATGAGTTACATGACCGAACGAGAGGTTACATTGTCGACGACACATGCTTAATTGAAGTCGAGATGTGCGTTACTTCCTTCACACCGGTAAGTTAAACCAATCCTAATTTAATTTTTTTAGAAAGAGATTCCACAGTTTATGTTACCCATTCTTAATTTTTCCATACAGGCTCGACCTGCTGATCCATCGACTTCCGTTGATTCAAGTGTTGATAATCTGGTTTACTTGGAGACCATGGACTCGATTTACACCAATGCTCAATCCTTTCTCAAGAACAAAACAAAGCGTTCTTTCGGCTCGATAACTTGTACACCTGTCCTCAACATTCGATCATCACCCGATGATGTCGAGCGTCTGGCAAACGGGCCCTTCAATGATCTGATCGGACTCCCATTGGACGAATTAGCGAACCCCAAGCTCGAAAATGCAATGAGAGAAGCTTTGTTTAATAGCGACGAACAAATCCAACAGACCAAAAGGTATACATTCTGCTAAACTTCGAAAAAAATTGCAAGATGATTGATTACTTGTCTCGTAAGTAATCTGTTGTTTTTTAACAGGATGAGACTTCAGTTTCCGAGGATGATGGAGGACTGGAAGGACTCTGTTCAGCTTCTAGAAGACGGTCAGAGTTTCTTGTCGGACTATGAGAAAAACGTTAATCAACTCGAGGATGCGGTTAAAAGTGAGGAAGGGATAAAGAGTGAACTCGACGAGGTAAGAAAGAGATGCAAAGAATTGGAAGAGGCTTTGGGGGAAGCCAGAAAGGAAGCGAAAAATCTCGTGGAACAGAGACGCGAGGCGTCTAAAACGACACACCGATTGTACGTTACAGCAGAAGAAAAGAATCCCAAGGTCGAAGGCAAAGAGATGGATATATCAGAGGCGAAGGATGAGTTGGACGAGCTGAGGGCCGAGTGGGAAACCTACAAATCGCAGTTTTTCGCTTGAGAATCGACAAGTTTAACTCTATATGCTTTTTAACATCAAGTCTGCATTCTTCCATTTCCATGCAGCTGTTTTTTACTTCTTATTCAACTGGTGATGTTGATATGTCGAAGTTTGAGAGATATATGCATGTGGCTTGGTATTTGAATATTGTTATTCTATGTTATAAAAACAATTGTTATGCTAAGTTTTTTCTCCCACTATTTTGTGCAATTTCTTTATCTTTGAGTCTAGATATCTGCATTCTGCACTTATTGGATGCCATATTCTTTTTTATCAAGAACTTGTATGTATGCATATTTGGAATGGGATTAAAGCTTTGTTTTTGTTGGTAATAATCATACTTATGTTGATTTCCTCTGGATGCGAGGAGTCGAAGGCAGCATCCGAGTTCAGGTAATCACAACGCCGGCGAGGTAGGAGAGAAACAGATTGATTAGTTAGATAATGTATGCATCCAATTTATAATCAGTGTATTACTATTTACTAGTTGTGACCCATGCGGCGCATGAGGGTCGCCAGATCGACATTCTTGAATGGCGACATGTAGGAGAAAGTCTATGTAGAGCAGTCATCGCCGACAAGGAGCACAAGTTGCTCAAGCTTTGAAAGGCGTTGTACAGTTTGGATCAAGCGCCGCGGTCCCGGAAGGCGAAGCTGGACAACACGCTGATGTCACTCGGCTTCAAGAAGAGCACATTGGAACGCGAAGCTGGACAACACGCTGATGTCACTCAGCTTCAAGAAGAGCACATTGGAGCATGCCATCTACGTCACGTATTACGGTGACTTGCAACTGGTGGTCGGGGTCTACATCGATGATCTCATGATCACCGGCTCGAGCTGCGCAACATCAAGTCGTTGAAGAAAGAGATGGAGGCCACATTCAATATGAGCGACCTCGGACTGCCTCACTACTACCTCGACATTTAAGTGAAGCAAAGAACGAGGGAACTCTCGTCGAGCCAGGACGTTTATGCTGGCAAGATTCTAGACAAAAGCGGCATGAATGGGTGCAACCCGTGCCAGGTGACCATATGGGCACGATTAAAGTTGAGCAAATTCAGCTCAGAGCTGGCTGTTGACCAGACGACGTATAGGAGCGTCATCGGGAGGTTGATGTACCTGGTTAATACACGCCTCAATCAGGATTTTGTTGTTGACTATGTTAGCCAATTTTGTTGTTGACTATGTTATCCAGTGAAAGCGATTATGTTGGGGATGTTGATGCTAAGAAGATCACAACAAGAAGGGTGATTTTCTTCCTTAGCAGCAACCTGATCACTGGCAATCCACGAAGCGAAGCAGAAGGTGGTGGCACAATCAAGCTGTGAGGCGGAATACATAGTAGTTGCAAATGTCTAGTCAAGCATTGTGGCTCGCTCGGGTGTTGGCTGAGATGCAATGATCAACACTAAGAGCGCCAATGTTGAGGGCGGACAACAAGGCTGGCATTGCCTTAATCAAGAACCAAATACTCTATGTACAAAGTAAGCACATTCGAGTGAAATATCATTTTGTCCGGGAGTCTGCAGAGAAAGAGTTGATTAATGTGGAGTTCATCAGGAGCGAAGGACAATTGGGCAACATTTTGACGAAACCGCTTAGGAGGACCAAGTTTCATGAATTGCACATCAAGATCGGCCTAAGTAATACCAACCATGTGACAAGGTTTAGGAGGAGATTGTGGGAATTAATCTTTGTGCACCTAATTTAGTTTATTTATTTATTTATTTTTTGTTAGTTTTGCTTTCCTCGGTTGTGTGATTGTCAATCATATTGGCATGATTATAGTTTCCTTATAATTTTGATTTGTAAGTCTCAATTAAGTTTTTTTGGATTACTTTACTTAAGCAATAGAATAACACCAAAAAAGATGTCAATTCAACAGCACCAAACATCGTATTCTCTTTTGTTCGCGTGAGTTTTTTTCTGTCGTGATCTCACCGACAATCGGGTGTTGTCTCTCCGGCGAGGTTCTAACATGATAGGAGGAGACATGGGTTGAGGTCAACCTCCATGAACGTGCTTATTGTGGTGAAGTCTATGAGAAACTTTACGCAGGAGAATATTAAGAGCAACTTCAATGCTGCGTTGGAGTTGCGTATTCCTTCAAAATAGTGCAGAGTTTGCTCTCCAATCCCACGCTACAATTTTGCGCTATTTCATTTATTCAAATAAATGAACAGTGGTGCGCCACTTGTAGCGGAACACCGTAGCAAAATGCGCCAATTTTTATTTTTTTTCTATTTTTAATGTAATATTAATGTAAATTTTTGTATAATGTGTATTAATAAATGCATTTTTATGTAAATAACTTCGTGTAATGTATTTTTTATGCTAAATAGTTTTGTACATTTTATTTATTGATGTATTATAATTTTATTTTGAATTTTTTTAATATTAAAATAGTACCATATGGAGCTGGAAGAGTCTTTGTTGACAATTCTCCTGGCATAATGCTAATAATGGACTAGATCAAAATGACTCAATTAAATTCTAGTGCTTCTTCTATTAGTGAAGTTTCTAGAAAAAAATATATCAAACGACGCAATGCACCTTGGGTCGCTATGGAAACAGTCTCCTTGTATAATTACAAGGGTAAGGTCTGCGTACAACTGACCTCCCCAGACCCCAACCTGTTGGGAATATACTGAGGGGTCATTTACTTTGCAGGATGGGATTTGACAAATTAATCAAGGCCACTTTACATGTCAGCATTTTGTCCCTTGTTTACTTTTTGGGATGTAATTTGCATAAATGAATCTCTCATTTACTTCAGTGGATTAATTAAGATGATATAGAAGCCAAATACTAAATTGCCCTCTTTCCTTCTTCCTTCGATTAAAATAGCTCTAAACCAACAGACAAAATTTTTGCCCTAAATTTGCGCGACCGACGAGAGCATCTCTTCTGTACCAGAAGACTTCATTCGTCTCCCCCGCTCAAACGACTCCATCCTTCTCCTACCCGACGACAGTGCAGTGACAGGTACGACCATTTTCCAGCAATCGAGAAGTTAGTAACCTGTCACTTTTGATTTTTGCCTTTTGTTCGTGAAATTGACAAATCTTTGTGCTATGAACAATATATTGTACGGGTTTGATTCAGTTTCTTACAAATTGGAGGTGCGAAATTCCATCAGATCCAGGGTTTGAGTTTGAACAATATTTTGTTTGAGTTGTTAAATAAATAGGTGTGCCTGTATATGTCCGTCCCCATTAGGTGAGCATCGCCTTGATTTGCTTCCATGGATTAAATGATTTTAATTTGTTGTGTATAATTTATTTATTTACTTCTAGTTCGGGTTATGTATTTCTGAGTTTATTGCAGATGAGCATTTATATTGTGTGTCCATGATTTGGTGAAGTTTTGGTTTTCTGTCATTAATGGGTTCTGTATTTCTGGGTTCTGTATACTGTCATGTATTGTCATGTATATTCTGTGTCCATGATTTGGGTTCTGTATTTATGTGTTCTGTATATTGTCATGTATATGGTTAAGTTTTGTTCTCTCTTGTTGATGGAATTATGTTGTTATTGTCATCATGGGCTTTAATTATGTTGTTCTTGTTACCCTGATTGAAATGACTCGTTCGTCATTAATTTTGCACACTTTTAGACAAGCAAAGATGTCAAGTACTTCTCATATGCCGTGCGCCATCAGTTGGTAATGGATGGCTATAAATGGATGTTTAAGGACCAGATAGTTACAGTCTGGTCCGCACCAAATTACTGTTATAGGTAATAATGCTATTGGTGTTGGTGATGATTGTAACATAGTAATAGTTACTGTTGTTGGCTTTGCTTTTATCTGCCTCGAATCTGTCATGAGATTTAATTATCCCTGCAGATGTGGAAACATAGCCGCGATTCTCGAGCTAAATGAAAACCTTGAAAAGGAGTTTCGTGTATTTCAAGCAGCTCCACAGGAGTATATAAGCATGCAATTGATTTGCTTTATTTTATATACACTCTATTTTCTTGTTTGTTATGTATTACTGAACTTTTTGTATTGCCTTGCTCTGCAAACCAATTCTTGTTGATACATTCTTTGGTGAATGCAGGAATCGAGAGGACTGCCGGCCAGAAAGCCAGCTCCAGATTACTTCTTATAGCGAGGAACTGTACGAAACAATAGTACTCAATTGGTTCTTGAATGGACAATCTCGTTGTCTTCTGAGTTTGGTGTGAGACCAGATTGTGGCTTGAGCGGTAAAATACGGAATTCGTGCGAGATTTAAGATATGTTGGGGGGTTTTGCCGGGGCGCTTTATTCTTTTGTATTACTATGTGTTTCTTTTCTGATACTGCTCTCGATAAGGGTTTTGTAAACGCAAACATTTGTAGCTACTGAATATTACGTTCATGAAGATACCTAAAAATTTAACTTTACAAAGGAATTTCTAAATCAAATTTCACTGTCCACTAGATACAAACACAATCATTTGCAGCTACTGAATACAACAAAAAATAGATTGCATCTACAAATTTCGTATCAACATATGATGCTGCAGATCAACGAAAGAAAATAATTCAAGCACGAAAAGAAAATGCAAAAAGAAAAGGGGGTGAGGCTAAAAGAAGAGCCGTCGAGAAGGAGGCGCCTGAGGACTAGTGACAGGAGATTTCGATGAATTGAGAGTAAGTGGTGACTTCAAGATGTCTAGTCTCCCAGTGGACTTGTTATTATCAGCTACCTTTGCTCCACGTGGGTCGGTCAGAAGATTCTTTTGAAACGACTGAGTGAAACCAGTTGCAATTATCGTGACATGTATTTCTCCATTGTAGCGCTCGTCCACGACAGCCCCAAAAATGATGTTTGCTGAAGGATCTGCTAAACTCGTAACAACCTGGAAGAGATCATCCGGCAAACAGAAAATTAGAAAAAAAATTCCAACGGCTTGGATTTTTGTTTATTGAAAAAACAAATTAAAAACTCCTTAAAGTTGAGCAGTGGTTCTGAATCCATAAATGAACAATGTCATGTGAGATATTACAGTATTAAACACATGGGAAAGAATATTCTATTATTTGAGACAAAGTTTAGCTTAATTATAAGAAAAGCCACTGATTTCTCAAATATGAAGGTTAAAGACAATCGAACAGGGACGTTGTAAATTAAATCTATTAAATCTATTCCCTCGTATAGGTAGCATTTGTAAAATACATGTATAATTTCAAATGCAAATGGATTTTATGTGATTAAGCAAAACCTCAATGACAATCTCTATTTTTAGACCTAAAACTTGTGCAAATAATGATTCTTAGAACCCAGGTAAAAAAAAAAAACAAAACAAAACAAAATAAAAAATAAGAAAAGCGCAACAGAAGGGTACCACCTGTGACACCCTATTTACTTCTTGCAGGGTTATATCCTTCCCTCCTGTTATATTGTACACAACTCCAGTAGCGGATTGAATAGAATAGCCGATAAGTGGTGCCAAAGTTGCTTGCTCGGTTGCTTCCTCTACGCGGTTCTTACTGGAGGAGACACCCACTCCAAGCATAGCAGTACCAGAGTCCTTCATGACTGCCTTAACATCTGCAAAATCCACGTTCACCAAACCAGGGATCTGCAGAAACAATAAGAATTACTTGATTTTTTCTCAATATTTGGAGATAACATAAACCAGCCAAGAGGTTTTTCAATAAGAAATAAACAAATATTGTCGTGTATCACAGACGAGCTTGAGGAGAAAGGCAACAAGAAAATTGCCTGAAAATATGCAGATTTAACAAATAACTTTATTCAAGATGCAATTTTGTAAAGTTAAAACAAATATCAGTTGGATATTTATTTCTTGCAATTAGGTGCAACGCCAACGGCATTTCTCGTATTTACCCCATAAATATAATGACAGAAACATAGCCTTTGGACTGAAGGTCCATGCATTTTACTTGTAAACCTACCAGAATATTAATTCATCGAATGATTTGTCAAATGCTATATAAATGTGAAGCGATTTTGCATTTCTGAAACAAAAAGGTATACTACTCAACGAGAAGACAAGATATTTATGCATGGGAAAATGAGAAAAACCTATTACAGAGCAAGATATTTTAGATGAAACACTGTTATATTCTTATAACACCTACGGTGATTATATCGGATATCCCTTGGACACCTTGACGGAGCACATCATCTGCTAGAAGGAATGCATCTTGAAGTGGAGTCTGCTCATCAGCATTATCCAGTAGACGGTCGTTTGGAATCACTATTAGTGTATCCACATTCTTCTGGAGCTTTTCAATTGCTTCAAGAGCCTGTAAAATCACAACATGCACACTAGGAAAATAATGAGACTATAGAAACAGAGAGCACATAATTGAATTCATTACTGAATCATAACAACTTACAACAAACAGGGACCATGAACCACAAAGAACCAATGGATGCAACAGATTTAACGAGAAAGGCTGAAACCAGTACAACAATGTACTGAACAAAGTAAAGTTTGTATACACTTATGCAAGAATCAAGAATAAAATCATAATATTGTTCCAACTTCATCTAATCAATACTCAGAAGGTTAGGGTGTTTACCTTTACCGGTGACGGAGGAAAAAACTCACAGCTATAGCCGATGGGAGATGGAGGTGTATTAATAGAGAAACAAACATTTCACAAAAAAAAAAAAAACCAAAAAAGCAGCATTTCAGAATAGTAAACATAAATTGTTCTTGAAAAGGTTATTGTGGCGATTGTGTTGCTAACCTTTAGGCCCGATGAAGGATTCGAAGCTTACACCTCGACGAGAATGGCGGCTTCGTGTCTGCAGTAATGCAGTAACAAGGGTTCTTCAAATCCCGATTTCACAACAATTGAGAGATTTGACAACAATGGCCGAATAAATCAAATTTAAAAAAGTAAAGACATGACGATTATAAGGGGCTGACCTTTAGCACGACGAATAAATCGAAACTCAAACCGATTATGTAACAATGGCGACGCTATCTCTGCAATTAGGGCAAAATGGCCGATTTATTCAAATCGAGGGACGAAGTGTAAATCGAAATTGAAAAGGTAAAAGGGCGAGTCTGGAGCTAACCTGTAGATGCGACGGAGAATCCGAAGATAGGGCTTATTTGCGAATCTTCGTTTCTGAAGAACATAGGGCAAATTGCTCGTCAACAAATTGTGTTCTTCGAATTTTGCGACAAATTGAATGAAACCGAAAATGAAAATGAAAGTAGTAACAACAGAGGAACTCACCTTTCGGTTCAGAAGCTTCAATCTACGATGAACAATGGCGTCGCAAATTCTTTCTGCAGCTAGGGCAAATGCCCGATTTTTCCAATTTATTTGTAATAAAATTGTTATTTCAATGAAAATAAAGGGTATTTTGGTCAGTTTACAATAAAATCCGAGGGTAAAATAGGTATGATAAAGACGGGATTAAATTGTCATAGGTGGGTCGCGGGATTTTTCTGTCCGAATTTCGCCGATTAGCGCGTGCCACATGGACGCCAGGTCGGATTAAGCCTATCCCACTCCCGCGGAGTAAACGTGAGATAGCCGGAATTATTTCTCTTATCCTATCCCAATCCCCCAAAGTAAACGACCCCTGAGTATGTTGGTTGATTGATTGATTGATTAAAATAGTACCATATGAATAAAAACTTAACACATTCAAACATACTATATAAAATTATTTAGGTAATAAACATTTGATATAAAATTATATATATATATATATATATATATCAATTTATTTGAAATAAAAATAAAAAAACAAATTTTTATTATTTTGGTAATAAACATTTACATAAGATTAAATATACATATATATATATATATGTACCAATTTATTTGAAATAAAAATAAATAAAAAAATAACTTATTTGATGTAGAATAAAATATAGAGATAAGGGTTGGAGACGAATGTTTCACTCTACTCTGGAGTAGAGATAAGTCCGCGCTAGAGTAGAGATAAGGGCTGAAGATGGTCTAAGTGCAATCGCAATAATTTTTTTTTTTTTTTTTAGTTAAAAGTAAACAAAGCGACTTATGAATTCAACTTCATAACAATTTCTTTGATTTAGCTCATCAGTTTCTGGGAAATTCAGATAATATACTTATAATTTCCATTGTTCAACATCTGACTTGGTCACTTCTTCATCTACCTGCAACTTTCAATATAATATTTGTACAGATATAGTTGGAACTCACACTACCATAATACCATGCATCTCTCTTTGTGTGTTGACTTTATTTTGTTATAAATTTAAGGCACAGATTAGAATTTAGGCATCAAATCATCTCTGCAGGTTATATATCACAAGAAAAAAAATGGACAGCATTGTGCAAAACCAATCACTGGAGGCTTGCAAAGTAACAAAGCTGTCGTGGAAAATCGACAATTTCTCTAAGCTCAACGTGAAGAAGCTCTTCTCACAGACGTGCTCGGTTGCAGGATACAAATGGTATACGTGCTTCAAATTTAAAACTATCGATTCAAATGTATCGAATTTATTTTTATTTGTTATATCAGGAGGATCTTTGTTTACCCCAAAGGCAACAAGGCAGATGGCTATCTGTCTTTATATATCGACATTATAGACGAACCTACGGCACCGTTTGGGTGGTTTGTCGAAGCTGATATCACGTTCGTTTTAGTCGACCAGTTTGACCAGAAGAAGTCCGTTGACCGTGGTATTTATCTTAATTCAGTTCATTGTTTTTTGAAATTTTGTTGAGCTTTGATTGTTTATCATGTTCACAACAGAGACAAAAGGTACTTTCAAGCATGGCCAGGTAAGCTGGGGTTATCCTAATTTCATCTCGCACGATAAGTTGCACGATCGAACGAGAGGTTACATTGTTGACGACACGTGCTTAATTGAAGTCGAGCTTTGCGTTAGTTCCTTCACACCAATTCCATCGAACAACGTAAGTTAAAACCAATCCAAATTTTAATTTTTTTAGAAGCAGCAAAAAAAAAATTAATTTATGTTACCATTTCTTTTTACTTTTTGCCATTTACTTGTGATAGGCTCGACTTGTTGATCCATCAACTTACGTTGATCCAAGTGTCGAAAATCTCGTTTACATGGAGACCATGGACTCGATCTACACCAATGCACAATCCTTTCTCAAGAACAAAACAAAGCGTACTTTCGGCTCGATAACTTCTACACCTGTTCTCAACATTCGATCAACACCTGATGAAGTCGAGCGTCTGGCAAACGGGCCCCTCAATGAGCTGATCCAACTCTCCTTGGACGAGTTCGCGGACCCCAAGCTCGAAAATGCAATGAGAGAAGCTTTGTTTGTTAGTCTCTCTCATTCGTTCACCGACGAACAAATCCAACAAATCAAAAGGTATACATACGTTATGCTAAAGCTCGAAAAAAAAAAAAAATTGCAAGATGATTGATTACTTATCCGTTGTTTTTAACAGGTTGAGACTTCAGTTTCCGAGGATGATGGAGGACTGGAAGGACTCTGTTCAGCTTCTAGAAGACGGTCAGAGTTTCTTGTCGGACTATGAGAAAAACGTTAATCAACTCGAGGATGCGGTTAAAAACGAGGAAGGGACAAAGAGTAAACTGGACGAGGTAATAAAAAAATGCAAAGAATTGGAAGAGACTTTGGAGGAAGCCAGAAAAGAAGCGAAAAAGCTCGTGGAACAGAGACGAGAGGCGTCTAAAACAACACACCGATTATACGTTACAGCAGAAGAAAAGAATCCCATGGTCGAAGGCAAAGAGATGGATATATCACAGGCGAAGGATGAGTTGAACGAGCTGAGGGCCGAGTGGGAAACCTACAAATCACAGTTTTTCGCTTGAGAATCGACAATTGTTATGCTAAGTTTTTCGTCCCTCCCACTATTTTGTGCAACTGATTTTCTTTATCTTGAGTCTAGATATCTGCATTCTGCACTTATATTGGATGCCATAGTTTTTATCAAGAACTTGGATGTATGCATATTTGGAATGTGGGATTAAAGCTTTTTGTTTGTTAGTAATAATCATACTTATGTTGGTTTTTTTAAGTATGCCATAGTTTTTTTTTTTTTTTTTTTTTTTTTTTTTTTTTTTTTTTTTTTTTTATCAAGAACTTGTATGTATGCATATTTGGAATGGGGTTAAAGCTTTTGTTTGTTAGTAATAATCAATACTTGTGTTGGTTTTTTAAAGAATGAAATTTTGATTTTAAAGCATAGTTTTTTTACCCGGACCGGATCGACGGGTCGACCCGGAGCCGAAACCAACCTGGGTGGGCTATTTGCACCGAGCAACAAAGGACCCGGTCAAAACCCAGCCAACTCGGCCTTGACTGGGCCATATATATATTTTTTTAATTTTTGTTTATTTTTTTATTTGTTTTTTGTTTTTTTGTTTTTTTTTTGCAAAATAAAACTATATATCTATATGTTTATTGGTAAATATTATCATAAGATACATATTATTAACACTTTAATGTATAAATTTTATACACAAAACATTTAATTTGTTATTTCTATGTATATTTATATGACAAAAATACTATATATATAATTTTAAATATTTTAAAATTAAGTACTCGATTCAGCAATTAACTCGGTGACTCGACAGTTGAACCGGTGATAATGACCCAGAGACCTGTCCGATGTATTACCTAACCAGGTTTAAAAATCTAAAAACTATGTTTGAAAGAATAAATGTTGGTTGAATTGTTAGCCAATCCAATAATAATCTTACTATATATTAATATAGTCATAGTCAGTTCATCCTTATCATCAATCCAATCTAACAATTAAAAATTATTTTTTTCTCCTCTACCTACACAACTCAGCCGTCCAAATAAATTTTCTTTATCTCAACCCAACTCAACCTAAATATTTATTTTATTTTAATTTATTTAAAAATTACAATTATGTTCTAAAATATATTAAGTGTGGTCTCTATTTTTAGAGAATGAAAAAATACAAATTTTAGTGTTTTTTTTAGAAAAAAAAACAAATACACTTATCCAATAAAAATGGGACAAATGTCCTATTTTTACACAAGCACCGACGATTTTTTTACAAAAAAAAAAATCAAAAGTTAAGTTGTAGACAAAAAAATATAGGGAAAAAGGGGAGTGGAAACAAATGAAAAGCATGTATTTTATAAATACGTTTTCTGCCCATTTTAATTGTAAAACGTATTCCGTGAATACGTTTTCCTTTGTAAAAAAATGTGAAAAACGTATTTAGTAAATACGTTTTTTAGTTAAATTATACAGAAAACGTACTTTATAAATACATGCTTTTTATATTGGTCCATTATCCCTTTGTTTTTTGTTTTTTGTCCACTTATTATTTTTTATTAATAAATTTATAAATTACTCCCAGCACCGGCCTTTTTTTTGTGAGTTTTTAGGCCTTTTGTGGGGCATTGAACTTTTTTTTTCATTTACTTTATTGGTTATAACTTTTTTTTTTTTAGTTTTGTTTTGTACGATCAGTTATGACTCAGTTATGACTAGTATTGATATGTGAGAAATCTTGTACTCTTTTGTGGTTTATTTTATATATTTGAGTATTTGATTTTATTGTATTATTCAAATTTTCTCACGTATTTTATTTTGAGAATGGACATACGCCAATAATCGAATTTTGTGTCTATTTTACCGTTTAGAGCTAGTTGGTGATGTGGCAATAAGGTGGCTAATTAAATGAGTGATGACGTGGACTGTACTTCCGAATGCCGAATACATACATTTTGTTTGTGTGATGAGTGGATACATATTGGTTAATTGTTGGAGAGAATTTTAAGGATGGTGGACTCTTGTTTGTGGCTGATTGGAGAAAGGAATGAATTCCAATTTAGTGGGACTCTTAATTAATCATCTGGGGGGACTTTGAGTACGAAAACACAGAGAGAGAGAGAGGAGTATGAAAGAGCTTGAGGATTTATTTGCTGCTTGAAGACAATTCGACGGAGTGATTTAACAAAAGGAGTTTGGTTTATTTGTTTTTATTTATTTTATTTTGTTTGAAGAACATGATGAATTATTATTTTTGTTTTGATCATTTAACTATGAGCTAAACATTTATTTCGGTTCTAGGGACGTTGAACCCTCGGTGACTATGTTTGATTAATGTAATTTTATTTTGTTTTACTCGTCGTATAAAATTGATTGTGTTATTCTAGTTTCATGTCATAATATGTGTTCTTTAATTTAGCTTGATCACTTAAGTTGAGGATTGCATGTTAATTGCTAGATTTAAGACTTCGATCCGTGTAATTGTCGTAGTTCTTAATTCGCTTGTAGCAACTAACAGTCGTGCATTGTTAGGGATAGCACAACATAAGTTACATGAACCGAGCTAGTGTGTTTGTGGCTTAGATCAGTCTATTTTTCCTAAATTCTAATGCAACTAGTGGATTAAATTAGGAGAGCTTATTCCGAGTTGTTCGCTAGTTATAATTAATTGAAGAGCCTATTTCGATTAAGTATAATTAAGGGAAAATTCGGGTAGCAGAACTTATTGCTATCTAGGACCGGTAGTTTTAGGAGACGAGTGAGACTTGATAAATGCATTAATTGGACTAGTTATTCGAAGGTGTAGACCGACCTGGAACCGATTTCATTCTCATATTTGCTAGATTAATTATTTATTTTTGATTTCATCATCTTTTGCATTCAAATCATCCTTGCTTGTTTTAGTTTAATTTCTTGTTTCGTTAGTTATTTCGTTTTCAATCCAAATCCCCCCTCTTTATTATCTAATTAATATAATAAAATCACGGTTTATACCATACTCCCTGTGGGATCGACCCTTGCTCGCCACTACTTCTAGTTAGTAGGGGTAAGTTAAGAAAATTTATAAATATAAATTTGCCGCGAGACGACGCGCGGTCAAGTATGTACCCCGTGCGATGCATAAGACGTATATATTAAATTAGTTATTTTCACAACCTTCGTTTAAGTCTAAAAAGTAATATAGTTATTATCTATTTTATACCTCTTTTAATCAATGTTAAGTCTAAAAAACAATAGTAGTTATAAGTTTTTTTCCACATCTATTAACCAACGTTGTTTTTTAGCCAGAACATTAAATATTAGCATGTTAGGCTAGCTTGTAAAATAATTAATATATAATCTCACTAAATCATTTATACTAATAAAAATTTAATTTTAGCATATAAATTTATCCCTTGATATAAGAGAAAGCAACAATTTTACTTATTCTTCTTCACCATAAATTATTTAATTATTATTTTATCATATAATAGAAAGAAATACTGTTAAATAGTGTAGTAGAATTGTTATAAAATTATATGAATTTTTTTTTCTTTACAATATGGATTTATATCTTTTTATGATTCGATAATATAACTATAATTTATTCTTAATGATATAATAATATGAAATACAAATTTACATAATGCTATGGATTTATTCCTTAATGTTAAGATATTGAATTAGGTAATATATGATTTACTTTTGTAATCTATCTCTTTTTATATTGAAAATAATCATGTGATTGAGTAGAGATTACAATTATCTATAAATTCCTTCATTTAAGGAATAATTTTTAAATTGGTCCAAGTGTTGAATGCAACCTGATTTTCTTGTAACTAAAATGAAAAGAGATTTTAATTTTAAATATTCACTTCAAAACCACACGTAAATTTGGATGAAGATTTTATTAAAAAATGAATTCAACAAAACTCATAATTTTAGGGGCATTTAATTTTATCTTATTTTATGATTTAAAAAATCTAAAAACTTTCTAAATATGGTGAGCAATTAATTATGAATTGACTTTTCTTCCTACTAATTCTAGTAAATGGGATGATTTTTTATATAAGTATAGATTTAACTCATTTAAACAAGAACGTTTTTTTTTTTTTTTTTTTTTTTTTTTTTTTTTTTTGTAATAAAAACTAACTATACAATACCTGTGTATTACACTGGTTCTTGTTAAAAAAATTATCTTAAAGAGAAAAATTATTATAAATTTTATTTTAAATTATATTATTAATCGATAAATAATTTATTTTTCCTAATTATTATTAAAAAACTAATATTGTTATAAAGATAAAGATAATTTATTTTGTTATACATACAATATGAATGTTAAATCGAAGTTCATAAAGTGGTGGTTAATTTGATATATAATATATGTAAGACTGATAAAAAATACAAAAGTTATTAACTTTTGAAATACATTTACAATTCAATGGTTATAATAAGAAATGATAATCAACATATTTATAGATAATCCGGACCTAATTTTTTTTTTGAAGTAAATTAAAATCTACCCAAGAAATATATAATTTTGCCACAGGACCCCAAAACATGAGAGTCTGCCACTTAGATTCAACACCGCTCTGAATTAGTTCTGAATTAATATTTAGAGATATTCATCTCGTCTCACTTTACATAATCAAAAAATAAAAAGTATTATTCTATTTTTTAATAAAAAATACTATATGTGAACTGACGAATTCTCATATTTATACGTATCAATCAACATCAATCAATATCATTCAATACTATATTATTTTTATATCATATCAATTTTAACTATTAATTTTTTTTTCTTATATATATACTCGTAATTTTAAATTTATTACACTGTTTTTTTAAAATAATTTTATCCACTTTCATCACAATTTTCCAACGATATAATTTTTTTTCTAAAAAATCTTATATCCATTTATGTCCTTAGCATTATAAATAAAGTGTTAACACAACAAAAACTCATAATCATTGTAATAAAATTCAAGTTAGACGATTGCCTACACGCTAGGTGACACCCAGACTCCCCCGATATTTTCTTTTCAATACAAAATAAGGTGCCAAGAGCCTAAAAAGGTGATAAGTCTAGGACTCGTCGGGGATGCGACACCCTGATGAGATGATTATCAATCCATGCTCCCAAATCGGAGGGAGGGGAAGTCATACGATGCAGCCCCAACATAAAGGAAAACGCCAAGCTCGTCGTAAAGTCGACTGCGAAATTAACTTTCTTATGCACATGTTGAATCCTCACTCGCCAATCTATTTGCAACAAGCTGGGAATGACCCTGACCAATGCATGATTTGTTATAATACTATCTCCGGGCCCAAGCACCATTCTCTTGACGCACTGGCTCGGTCGATAATTTGACGGAGACCTAACTCTCAAGCCAATTGTAGACCTTGGAAAAGCCCCCAAAGCTCGGCTCCTTGATTTTCGTCTAGGTGCTTGTCTGCTTGGGCAATCGAACGTCCGATTACGAAATTGTCGACTTTTTTTTAAAAGTAACTACTAATTTTAACTCAAATGCAAACTCAATTTTCATCCGTCAACGATTGTCGCAAGGAAGACGTTTATGTTGAAAAAACCTCCCTGGTCACTAAACTTGCACGTTCATCATCAAAACACGCACACACACACACACACACAAATGGAGAACAAGCAATCGGCGACAATGGCGCCGTCCCTCATCGATCTCCCGCCGAACATCATCATGGAGATCCTCGTCCGCCTTCCTCTCAGAACCCTCTTCCTCAGCAGGTCCGTCTGCAAAACTTTTCTCACCTTAACCTCCCCAAACCCCCACTTCATCGACCTCCACTCCTCCAACGCCGCCCAAATCCTCCTTATCCAGCTCGGCGGCGCCCTCAACCCGTCACACTTACTCAACGTGGCCGAGCCGGAGCTCGACCTGCGCTCGGGGCTCTATTTCTTTCCAAAACCCTTGTTCCAGCTGCCCAAGATGGGCACCAGCGTCTTGTACTACCGCACCCATTTGCGCGAGCCAAACAACTTCGTCCTCATCAATTCGTGCAATGGGCTGATTTACCTCGTCAGGAGGTACGCGCGGGATGAGCGTTCCCTAGTGTGTAACCCTGTCACGAATGAGTACCTTTTGATTCCTGAAGTTGATGGGGAACTTAGGTTGAAGACGGAGACTAAGAGCATGTGGTTAGGGTTTAGTCCTGGTACCAATCAGTATAAGGTTATGAGAGTATCAAGGTCTCTGAACAATTTTGAGTTTGCAGCTCAGGTGTTTGTGATTGGGTCCGACTCGTGGAGGAGCATCGAGGCTGTTGCTGCGCCCTTGGGCGCTGAGCATTCGTGGGATTTGTACCCGACTTTCTTGAATGGATTGACGTATTGGCTGGACAAGTCCTGGAATGGCATCCTTTTCTTTGACTATGAAAAGGAAATTTTCGGGGATGTTGAGCTGCCGTCTGAATTTGGGGCAGAACAGTTGAGGAACGAGCAGAGTATGAGCATCGGTGTTCTCAGAGGTTGCCTTTGCTTGAGTTTCAACGATTTTAATGCTCAGCGTGTGGATTTATGGGTGATGAGAAAGAATGGGAATCGAGAGTCTTGGAGCAAGGACTTTGTTGTTGATCTGGTCAGGCCCGTGGACAAGCCCGCACTCGGGAGGTTCAAGCCGCTGCAAGTGCTCAGGAGTGGGGAGATAGTGATGCTATGGGTCGAGACTGATGTGATCTGCTATAATCCGAGAAACAAGAGCCTTAAATTTGTCGGGTTTCGTTGGGTGAGATCGATGCCCATTATTGATGTGGCTTTTACTCCTAGCTTTGTTTCCCTCAAAGACACACTGCAGGTCGAGGAGGTTATAAGCAGACACGTTAGGCTATGGTAATGTATGTGCACTGTTAGCAGCATCTTGTGTGCTAATTTGACCTTCAGTTTAATTACCTAGGAACGTTGTCCAATATATTCATAATCTTTGTTTCTTGTTGGGACATTCATGTGACAGTGTGCATCAGTCTCGTATAAAAACCACATTCATTCTATCATCTTGCCATTGAACAACTGTAGTGCCACTGCCATCCATAAAATTGAAAAAACTTATTCTTTCTTATATTAGCTATGTTTGGTAAAACTAGCTGATAAGCTAGCTTTCCTAAGCTTTATTTTGCCTTGCTTAGTTCTCTATTGGTATTAACTATTGCATTGTCCTCCGTTTGATATATTTGGAGAAACAGAATTTCACGTAGATGAGGTTTTGGGAGCACCTCCAGCGGGAGGTTTCTTTGAGGTTTTAAGAAAAGGAAAATTATGGTACACTGTACATGATTCGGTAGTAAGGTCTTTGGGTGATGTATTTATTCTCGGTACAAAGTTTTGTTTGTACCTAGGTTTGTTTGAGAAGATTGGAGAGATAATGAGATGTAAAAAAAGAGACAAATAAATTAAATGTAGGACTATTATTAAAATAAAATCTTAGGCTTATGATTGTGGATAAAGTGATTCCAAGGATTTCCAAATTTAATTTACCTAGCTTTTCCATAATCATTTCATGCACAGGTAACTAAATAGAACCATGAGAAGAAGAGGAAAACGGCAAGATAGAGTGTCCTCTCGGTCATCCATCGTTGCTGGTGGTTCTTATTCCTATTGTTTATCCATAAATGTTTGCATGTCTGTAAACTAATGTATCGTGTATTTGTGTATTACGTGAGCAACTCATTGTAGGGCGTTTAATATATTCTTGATAACGAGGATCTATTATGTGTACTCGCATAAAATACGATGGGATGGAAGCAAAAACTCCTGTGAAGTATTCGTTGCTTGTAACCTAACATCAAATTTAGTCTGGTTTCGTTTTCTGTATGTATAGGTGGTGTATGTGTTCTCAAGTAATAATTTTCTCAGTTCCTTTCTCCTATGCATTTGTTTCTCAAATCATGATTGAAATTTATCGAACCGGAACTGACTCGCATAGCCACAGTTCCGATTCACTGAACTGGCATAATTCGGGCCGGTTGCTGTACCGGGACCATAGTTTTAAATGGCGAATGGTGAGGCGAGGCGATTCGCCCATAGCCTCGCCACGAGGCGAGGCGATTCGCCATGGCGAGGCCTCGCGAACACAAGCCATCAAAGCTTAAAAAA